GATTAATCCTTTAAAAAGTAACTTAGTTACATTACTTATTTCATAGTTTCAAAATTATCTGCCGACACCAACCTCCTAGCTTTTGTTGTTTGGAGGGTGGAGGCACTCCTGAATTAATTGCAGTTCTGCTGACAGAACTTTATCTTTAGGTTTGCCTTTGCTGTGACTCAAAATATTTCTCCAGTTTTTATCTAGTGCTACAAAACAGAATTTTTTACTCTTTAATATTTCTTAAGGATTTGCTGATTTTATCTATTCATGGACAATTGACATCCCTATTCTGTACAAGTTCCAGGGGTTCACTCTATAATCAAACAAAAATTATAACCCATGTGATTGTTTTTTTTTGTTCCAATAACTATTAGGATACAAAAGTTACTTGTTTTGGCAAGAGATCATAATTTTTAATGCTTTTCCTAGTTCTTTTTTTTGAGTAGCCACTGTACAAATTACCGTATTAATTACCCATATGAGAATGAAGCGAAACTTCTTGACTGTGTAATTAACAGCATGTCTGTGCAGTCAGGCCTTGGAACAGGAAGTAAAGCTGACAGATATAAGATATAAAGATATAAGGATGAAGAGCGAGCAAATATTAGGACTCTAAACCAAAACTAATTATTTTACAGAGAGGTTAAAACATTTTTAAAAACTTCTAACTGAACCCAATAACCACCAGTGGGGACATTTTTGATTTTGGAATTATTTTTTTTTAATCTGAAAAACCAGTTGTTCACAGATAGATATTTGACATTTCTTTTCTTTTTCTTTTTTTTATTTGCTTTGATACAATGTACTCTTTCATCTAGCTCATTATGAGCTAGATGAGGGGGAAGTCAACACACCATGCAAAAGTATAATATCTGAATCACACCTCAATAGTTGCCCTTTAATCTAGACTTTGTAACCCATTAAAATCTGAATTAGAACTCAACTTTAGATAAATTTACTAACAATCTGATATAATTATAAAACAATTAATTAGATGAAATGTGGCAACATTTATCCTTTGTAGACTGTTATGTTGTACTATCTAAAATCAGAGATGAATAACAGCTTATGCTCTGCCTTCCACTTGAATAAACTGATTTCCGCTTTTGCTGCAGTGGTTTCATCATTTATCTCCCTCCGACTGTGGTGCTCATCATAGATAATGACAGTTGTTTTTGCATTTCTCTGAGCCATACTATTCTCTTGCAGTCTCTTTGTCTTGAAAAAAAAAATCTCCTGGGTCCTTGGTAATGCAGTACTTGGAGGTGAGACACAAAGAAACATGCTGTATGTTTCACCAGGGAAACAAATTCAATAAATATCCTGTCCAGGGGTGACACTGAAAAAGTAGTGCATGGATTTGTTACTTCAAGACTGGAATTTCTTACGATCAAGAAGTCCACACAATCCAGTTAAAAGCTTTCAGCCTATCCAAAAATATGCAGCAAGAGTTCTGGTGAAAATTAAAGAGAGCTATTTCTCTTATTTCATCTTCCTTTAATTGGCTTCCTGCTAAATCCAGAATTGAATTTTAGATTCTACTCCTCACATATAATGCCCTTAAAAAGCAAGCTCTATCAAACGTCAGAGATCTGATTGTCCCATGTGTTCCTGATAGAGCTGTCAGACTGCAGATTTTCTAGTGGTTCCTAGATTTTCTAAAAGGGGAGTTGGAGGCACGTCTTTTAATTATCAGGCTTCTCTGCTGTGGAACCAGTTTCAAGTGTTTGAGCCAGAAAACCTCGTCTACTTTTTAGACAAAGCTTAAAATATTGATTTTAATAAACCTTATGGTTAGACTGGTTTAGGTTATCCTGAACTATCTCTGTAGTTATGCTGGTATAAGCATAAGCAACTGGGAGACAAACTGACTGTTGTTTTTCACTTTCTCCTTCTCGTACTCTCCAATTTGCAATGTTTTTGCTGTTATTTCAACCATTCATTTTATGTTTTCTTTCACTTGTTGTCTCTTTATACGATCTACATCTGGTCTGTCATTCTGTTTAGCTGCAATACCTTTCCTGGAGGAGAGCTTCGGCTCCTCCTCCTCCTGCTAACTTTTTACTTTTCATAAACATTGAAAATATTCCTACATCAGTTCATCTTTTTTTTTTTTTTTATATGCATCTGCTCTGTTTCCTCAAATCCCTACTCAGTCATGGCAGATGGCTGCTTGTACTGAGCCAGGTTCTTTTGGAGATTTCTTCTTGTTTTTTTGTTTTTTTTTCTCTCCACTTTCACTGTATGCATTCTCAGTATGATGGATTGCTCTGAAACACATGTGCTTGTCTACTTCTGCTACATGCTTGTCCAGGAGGAGTGAAATGCAAGTCAATGACTCAATGCAGTCTGCTTGGTTTTGTTAGAACTTTTTTTAATTAATTTGGATGTTTATCTGAGCTGGGTGTACAGTTTGTAAACTAGGATTATTTGAGATATAAGAGTGACTGAAGTGACATTTTTTTGTAAAGAGCCTTGAGCCAACATTTGCTATGAACTTGCATGCTATAAATAAACTGAATTGAACTGAATTATATAAAATGTGCTTGGTTTGCATTTGCATTCTCAATGTATTTGGATTCATACAAAAAGAAGGAAGTAATATCAGTTTTTTTCAAAAGCCACATTCTTCAAATAACCTTTTATATTAACCTCTCTTGCATATGAGCTTTTTATAGAGTACTTTATATGCTATGAAAACTACAACACTAAAATTTGCGCGCATCATGCCAGCTTTGTTGTAACCCCATTATTTTTCAGCCCTCAGCTTGACTGTCTGCTTGTGCTTGTGAGTCCTTCAGTGTAGGCTAGAGCAGAGAGTGACTGGTTCTTTGTAAGGATTTCATGAGTGCTGCTGTGTTGCTGTATACTCAGATCACTGACCGACTTCAGAGAATGCATGACTAAAAATACAGCTCAACGCCACAAGATTCTCTGCTGTATAACTCTGTATGCAGAGTCGTATCCTGCTCTCTTCTTCAGAAAATAGTCCCAATTTAAACTGGTTTCAAATGCACATACTCCTTTAACTGTGTGATCTTTAAGATTGCTTCAACTACCAGAGGCTTAGAAGATTGGTAGAGGGCTGCAGGGATTTTAGGGATGACTTCTCATCATATTGGTAAACAGATCTCACTGAAAACATTTTCTTAACTTATAAACAGACATTACACCTTCAAACATTTACTGATGTGAATAAACTTCCCGTTTTAATATAAGCACGTTTTTGGTTCCGTTATTTCCTGTTATACAGCTTGTGTCACAGTGGAATAAGCTCCAGATAACGAATTTATTCCCCCATCACTCTGTTGTGTCTCTGCCTTGCATTTTTATGACATACAAGGATACCCAGATTTAATGCTGCAGCATGACCTTTCTACGAGTCTAGTGCTGTATTATACGAAGTTTGTTCTTTAGCTGGACCAAGCTGTTATAAATATTTTTTTTTTAAATGTTGCAGTGATGTTACTTTAAAATAACACATGTGCCCCAAATTTTCACAATTGGCATGTTGTTTAAATAAAGGTTTTTAAATGTTAAATGTAATCCTGTGCTCTGCTGCTGTGTGTGCTGATGGAGATTCACGCACACTGTGTCCATACCAGGTTAGGCCATTTTTTGCTTTTCAAATGTTCCTCTTCCTTATAATAGATTCTGAAAGGTGTGTGTGTGTGTGTGTATTTTTTTTTTTTTTTTCCCCATGTTGACATGACAGTTTCAATCTGTTTCTCCAGCATGTCAAAATTTCTTTGTTGGCTAAAAATCTTTAGTTACTACTGGTTGTGAGGTGAGGTACCCCTGCACAGGTCAGTGGTTAATAACAGGATAAAACACACACACACACAATCATACCCAAAAGCAATTTAGGCTACCCAGTTCACCTAGCAAACATTGGTGTCATGTTTGGGGAGTCCAAAGTATCTAGAAAGAACCCACACATCTTGGGGGAAAGTGAAAACTCCATGCATAAAAACCCTAGACGAGTATGACATGTTCAAAGTAATTTTCCTCATATCTAAATATCTGAATGAACAGAAATAGCACCATGTTATTGGGTAAGTTGCTTTTTTGTCAGTAAACAATCAGACAGGTGTATCCAATGATGTAGATGATAAAAATAAGGAAATTCTCACACAGTATAGTCGTGCTTTGTCACTTTATCACAATGACCAATCCTTTTAACTGGCTTATTTAATTCTAAATGGTAAAACTGTAGAAAAGCCCCACATGCTTTTAAGATGCATGTGGGGCGCAAATCGCTTTGCTTTTATATGTAGGTTTGTACTTAATTGTGCTACTTTCATGATGTAATAACATTGTAGTCATGTGAACTTTCTATGTTTCTCATAAATTTTACCAAAAAGCCAAATTAGTTATTGATGTCAATTATTTTGAAAGGAAACCAGACATTCTCAGAACATGGAAGAATCGTTGATGGCAAACTACCCAAAATAATTGGGTTTCTCTTAAATAATAATCCAATGCAAGTATGGCAACCTTTTACTGGGTCACAAAATAGCATTCACATACCTAAAATGTTCTTGAGAATGAACTTGTTTTGAGATGATAGAAATCTGTTTCAGTCTTGGCCTCTATGGAGGAGTTAACAGAAGCCTCCCGCATATTGATGTATGCTAAATGAAAACACCACAAGACTTAACATCAGTAAGATATGTACAGCTTATAACTTTTACCAGAACCTCATCTCAAGGTTTGAACTATCCCTTTAATATTCCTGTTAAACTGAATATTTATTAAAAACATTGTTTTAATCTTTCATAATAGTATTTCTTTTTTCTTTTTTGTATAGTTATGTTACGATGGTCCTCACTCAGCTGTGTGTCACTGAAAGGGACCTCAGGTGGTGCTGTTGTCCTGACAACGAATGAAGGGAGCCTCACAGTCAGAGGCTGGATAATGTGAAAGAGAGAAAGAGTAGAAAAGAGCAGAGAGGGAATCAGGGAGGAAGAGTGAGGAGGTGGGGAGTTATTTTCACAGTCTAAACAGTAGCCTGCCTCTCTCCGTCGCCGCTGTGGGTTGTGCATTCCCTTCACTCGGGGAGCATTACGCGTCACAGGACTATAGAGCGAGGTCCCCGCACTTTTCCACCCCCAAGCCGTGAACTATTTCAGGCTCTCATCCATCCCGCATTGTTTTGGACCTACATTTATCCCGCGTTTATTCACAGCAGAAGTCTGGACCACTCGACTTGTTTTCTTCTCTCTTTTTGGATCTATCGCTCCCGAGACGCGCTTTTAAGATGCATGTGGGGCGCAAATCGTCTTGGAGGCAGCTGCAGGCTTCTTTTTTCAGACTGCTCTGTCTTATCCCCACAGGATTCCCCGTCCGGAGTGTGGATATGCAGCGGGCCACCGACAACATCACCATCCGCCAGGGCGACACGGCGATTATAAGGTAAGAGTCATCTCACAACTTTTCCTCCAGGACGCGGCATCGTTCCTGCGAGCGCGCAGCTCTGGTGGGAGGGCGGACCCCACTGGTTTTTGTACTTTGTGCTACAGACTTTTCCCCAATCTTTCCTTCCCCTTTATTTTTGTAATATAAAATGTCATCTAAATTAAAATGAGAATATATTTTTATTCGTATTAAAACGCTACAGAATAAACTTGTTCAGAAACACGATCAATTAAATGTTAATTCGTTCACAAAAACGTGGATGTGCACGTAGCGAGCTGCCTTATAGTTTAGAGCGAGATTTAGTCGGGGAGACCTTGTTATTAAATATATTTTTTGTAATGGGTTGCAGAAATAAATTATATTATTTTAGAAAAGGATAACAGTGTGGTAGCTATCTGATCTGTAATGACAACTTTCCTGTGGCTTTGAGAGATTGTAAAAAAAAAAAAAAAAAAGAAAAGAAAGAAAAACAGAATGGTTTATGTTCTTGCATTTTCTCTTTGCTTTCGCTTGAGTTTGAATGTCAAACTGCAAACTGCGTTTTCTCCTTGCTTCAGTAGGGTCTGGAGGACCTTACCAGTACAATTAATCACGGCTCAGACAATGCAAGCTCAGATGCTGCATGAACAGACGCCACTGGCCACGTGATCGGAGCCATGTGTTTGTGACAGCGGATTAAGCGTTTTCCCTCTTTTTTTTAGTAAACATGTCGCTCTGCTTCAGCCTACCTCCCATCAACGGAAAAGAAAAGGCAATGCTCTTTAATATTGTCAAACTGGTATTGCAGGGCTGCACACAGAACACTGCCCTGTATTGATTTTACTCTCATTCTTTGAATTTGTCTATTTGCACCTCCAGCCTTAAATAATATTTGCTGCATTCAGATTGGATCGATGTATAGTTTTTTTTTTTTTTTTTTTAAGTTAGTGTCATAAACACTATCACTTTCTGTCATGACGTGCAGCTTAAAGTTGTTTTTTATTATTATTATCATTAAGATGCAATAAACCATTTAAGTTTTTCTTGGCCATCCGGCTCTCCCATTGCAAACTGTTGCTGCACAATACGGCTACTTTGATGTTTACAAAAGTTATGTTTGTATGTAAAGTATGAAAGTTTTGAAATATTTCCGATTTCAAAAACATGAATAATAAAAGCTAAAAGAAGAGACATGTAATATATTATTTATTTACTTATATATTTGCTAAAATTGTCACCATCTCATGAAAGGATAAGACTAGACAAATCATCTGTGAAAATATTGAGCTCCTCACTCCTCTCAGTTCTACTCTTGCCATCTGAAGAAATGTACTGTTCCGGATAAATACAACCAATCAGAGCCAGGAGGATTGATTTAACGCTGTCGGTGAACCTCATGGACTCTCTTCTAAACTGCTAATGGCAGAGAAACAACTTACTGTTGCTGAAAAAAAATGTTCTGTCATCGGCAGCCAAGCCAAATAGCCTGAACTAACTATTGTGGTGAACAAGCTGAAGCACAGCAGAGAGAAAGTGGAGGGTGTAAGTAGTGCATACATGAGCAGAATTGCCAGAATATTTTTTTAATTTTCTTTATAAATGCCACACACTGCAACATACCTTAAAACTTCTCTTTTTTTCTGGTTGTTTCTTAAAAATCCAGTTGTTATGCTGGCCCCTTTCTTACCCCATATTATCTCAATTTTCACTCTACAGATGGCAACCTTGTATCAGACCAGCTTTAGAGGAGGTCTATTAGACATCTGTCTGCATTAGTTCTACCGTATGAACACAATCTGTTCTTTAAGATGAATTGAAGGACAACCCAAAGACCTGTAAGCTTCCTCAAGCAGGAGAGATATTACCAAGACTTTAGGCAGTTAAATTAAAATTTGTGACTAGCATTATTAAAATCAAAAATTGCTGTCAGCTAATTGCAATGATTTTACTCCAGCCTAAACCTAGGATCTATTTTTTGGTGATATATTGTTTTTTTGTTGTTGTTTTTTTTAAGCCATGATCATCATATCAAAAAGTAATTCCTGCTGGAGTATATTTTCTTACAGATCCAGCAGTACAAATTTTTGTTCCTCGATGTCTCATCCAGCTCCTTGTGCTGCAGGATTTGCTCCCACTGGAGCAAGGGATTGTGGGATCAGGAATCCCTTCTTTCAGAGAGTCTTTTGATCACTTCAATTGGAGAGATGTTCCCTGATTTTAAAACTTTGACTGAAGTGACACTTGTAATTCCAGTCTCAAGTCTAGCAGCAATGCATGTATTCATCCTCCACATTAGATTCATTTGATGGGTAAAAATGGTTTATGATGGGATCTTTTTCAATGCTGTCAGTCAAAATAACTGTAATCAAGAAAGTTTATCACAATGTCTGACTGGGAGATCTCAAAGATGACTCGTGTACCCATGGTCACTGAACCAATCACTGCATGACTTCAAATCAGCTTGTGCTGGCAGGCCCAGAAAGTAGGACTGGCTTATGAGGGGAAATACGAAGATGCTGAACCTGTGTTCGAGCCCAAGCCAGGCTATGCCTTGTAGTTCTACAAGGTCTGTGGTCTACAGCACGATTACTAGTTTTGACTGTAGTATACTGAATATGAAAAAGAATGGAGAACAGTTGTTAGTTTCCAGGGCTGCACAGTGGCGCAGTGGGTAACGCTGTTGCCTTGCAGTAAGAAGGTCCTGGGTTCGATTCCCGGCCCGGGGTCTTTCTGCACGGAGTTTGCATGTTCTCCCTGTGCGTGCGTGGGTTCTCTCCCGGGTTCTCCGGCTTCCTCTCACAGTTCAAAAACATGACTGTCAGGTTAATTGGTCTTTCCAAATTCTCCCTAGGTGTGAGTGTGTGTGTGCATGGTTGTTTGTCCTGTTTGTCTCTGTGTTGCCCTGCGACAGCCTGGCAACCTGTCCAGGGTGTACCCTGCCTCTCGCCCGGAACATGAGCTGGAGATAGGCACCAGCACCTCCCAACCCGGTTAGGGAGAAGGGTGCTCAGAAAATGGATGGATGGATGGATGTTAGTTTCCAGCAACAAGTCTTATGCTTTCCTTTGTTGTTTTGATGGTGTTTTTTTTTTTTTTTTTTTTTACCAGTTAACCACTTTAAGGGCTGTGTGCAAATTCATAGCTTTGTAAAGTTATTCATGATTTCTGCTCTTTAATTTTTGCACCTGTTAAACAACAGGATTAAACTCAACAGTTTGCAGCAAATAGCTTTACAAAAATATAAACATCAGCAGCGCTGTTGATGTCCTGTTTGCAGCTCAGCCAAGACTTATTCTTAAGACCTCTTTTATCTTTATTTGCATACTAAAAGGTGACTACTGGAGTCTGATTACTAATGGGAGGCAAGGATGGGCAAGTATTATTACCAGGTCTGAACTAGGCCATTGACAACAGCAGTTATGAGACAGTGCTTCAGCATAGGCTATCAGACCTCAATTAGACTCATTCACAAACAGAAAGAAAGACAGCAACTAGAAAGAAACAGTCCAAATGGTCCCCCGTTTACATGAGGATGATTTTGTTCCTGCAAGCAGGTGTCATCCGTTTAGGAATCTCTAAATCAGATTAGCTTGTTGCTGTTTGGTTCACAGCTATTTGTTTCAGTTTCAAATCTAATTGTCTGCTTCTTTGCTAAATCCAGACAGTTAGTCAGCTGTAATGACAGGCTATGAATAGAACCACACCTAAGTAAGACTATGCATTGAATCTGAAGCTTTTCATTTCACCTGAATCCTTACAACATTTTTTTTAGTAATTGTAATAATTAGGGTGTCATTAATTATTTTTGAACCATGTGTTACATATCATAGGATTTGATGATCAATCTTATTTATTTGCAGTCAGGCAGTCCTAAGTCAAGCCAAGTCCCCAAGGCTCTGTTGAAAAGCAAAGCTGTTTTTCACACCCTGTTTCCACCTGACAAATTGGAAAGAGAGGGAGGAAAGGGAAGAAATAAAAACACAAAAAACAAACCTGTAAGGGTCTAAAGAGCAACAAAAGTTTGCTATATCTGTTCCGGTAAGCTGTGTTTCTGAGGAGGCTGAGGGGATATTGGTGACCTGGGGGCGTAACAGGGCCCACTCTCGCTCAGTGGAGCCCCTGGCTGAAGTCGTGACACTCCAGGCGCTCAAAGAGAGATGCAGTGTTATGGAAACAGTATGTGGCCAAACTACCACTCTGGCAAGAGCACACAGCAGCAGTCCACAACCTAAATGAGAACGGAAATGTAGTTTAACCAGGGGTTATGAGGTCTGTCTTGCTGAATTCACAGGGAAAACCAAAGCAGGAAACTTTCAGATTTGCAACATTGCTGTAGGGGGATTCTGTTGATCAGAAGGCTTCTCGATAAAATAATTCGGGAGGTTGTGTTTGAATTATATGCTGCATAGTTACTAATGCGGGCTGCACAATGGCGCAGTTGGTTGCACTGCCGTCTTGCAACAAGAAGGTCCTGGGTTTGATTCCTGGGGTCTTTCTGCATGGAGTTCACATGTTCTCCCTGTGCATGCAGGGACATGCGGGCACTTTTCGCTTAGCTGTTGTTCTTTTGAATGGATATTTTAAAACATGACTTTTTGCCTTGTGATATGTAGGATTTGAAGTATAAAATAAGAAATATAAGAATAAGCTGAAATTTACGCAGCACAGAGTAGAATGAGAAACCAGCCTCAGAAAATCTTCTCTGTAGATTTAAATGTTGTACATATTCTTGCCATTTAATGTTGAATCCTTGTCATTTTCTCAGCATTTCATCTCACAAAGCTTTGTCCTGTGAGTGTCATCCTTCCTCAAATTTCATCAAAAGAGAACTGATCCTAAATATTGACATAGATATCCGCCAGCTGTCTACGCCAGTTGGGAATGGCAAAAAATCTACAATTGATTTTTGCCATTCCTTTCTTCTATCCTGCAAGTGCTCTCTGTAAGAACACTTCACATAATTAGATTAAAAAACTCTTAATCTATATATATCTTAATCTATAGAAGAGCTTCTTATC